TCTGAGTTGAAATTGATTCCGTAGGATCAGGAGTGAGACCAGAAGTCGCGGTTCCTATCAGTGACGATAGCATTGTGGTTGCTGAACTGCCATTGCTCGAGACTTGAGATACAGGCAGGAAGAACCATGAATAAAAGCCACCATCATTAAGGGTCAACTATAACAGTCATTCAAAATAATGTCTGTGTGGGATAATGGGAGGACATACAGAACCGTTCTGTGAATTGCTCACTTCCCCATTTGCAACCCAGAATGGACCCCCTTGATTTGAATCTCGCGATATTCTGATCAGTAGGTATATTGCATGAATCATATCAACGTGACAAGTACTACTCACTGGTACCAGTCTGTGTCTGTCGTCTCGTTGATATACCACGGTATTGGAGAAGTAGTAAGAGTTGTGCTGTGATTCAAAAACCCTATATATGTTTCATAACGGATATTGCGTAAGAATTGTGCAACGCCCTGTCCACCGATGATGTGCCACTATATGTGCAGTAGATTAATAGGTAAGGCTTCTTTAGAGACATCAATGGTGTTCTTTACCTGTTGATCATTTGTCCCAATGAAAGTCGCCATGACAGGTGGTCCACCATCAGTGGTATTTGCAGTGACAAATTGGCTGAATTTGTCAAATATGTAGTAATCTCCGTCAGAAAGAGACATGGGGGAGGGCAAGAAGATGGTCATCCCAGAGCAACGCTTTATAAATTAGCACAGATTCCGGAGACGTGTACAATGTTTCTGATATTCAAGTTTCCGAAGTCTCGGGATGCTGTGGAGATATCTGTATATGTTCTTCTGTGATAGTATTCGAGTGACATCTCAAATGTTTGAAGTCGGAAAGCATATGTGGTAAGGTTTATCAATTTCAATTGTCCAGTGGAGATGATATTGCAATGCAGATAAAACATTCGCTTACTACACTGACGGCCAAAAATCTTTTCAGGGTAAAAGATCCAAGCCCGATTTAGTAATGCCGACATGCAGAACTGCCGTAAATGGGAATATTTCCCTTTTTGAGAGTGAAAAGATTTTTGGCCGTCAGTGTATCCACTTCAACACGTTCGCAAGATTCGTACAAACTTTGCAGAACCGCGAAGTAATATGCGGATAGCAATGATGCAAACAGAATAAAAGTGAATCACAGAATTTAAATTTATTCTAAACAACGGTGGCGAATGGGGAAGAGATCATCTGTGCTGCTCACTACTAATCCATACTAGAATGGAGTCAATATATGAATGGCACACTGGCATCGAAGGGAACATTCAAGAAGTACATAGCGTTGAAAGGAACTCAACTGTGAACTTCGCAGAGGTTGGATATTACAGAAAAGCCCCTGGAGACAGGGCCTATCTAAACCAATGTGAATTTGAACAGGTCGTTACGTTGGATCATAGTGACGAGCTATCCATCGCATGCTCATAACCTGTTGCAGCTAGATTCATCACACCTCACTAGAGTTGTCGATATCCGAGGAACTAGGACCTTAATGATAAGTTCTTCAGTCACCACTCTGACATTGATCTAAACAGAAAAGTTACTCAATACTAAATTTGGCAATCATTGCCTCTAGCAGTACTGGCGAGAGATGCCTATTTACGCATAAATTCGTAGTCATAGTACATAAATCTAGCCCATCAGAACATTGCTTTTAGAGAAATATCATTAAGGTGCCTGAGCTACGTTGAATCTCGACCATTAGCGGATTAGCATTGATATTTTAGACGCTCCTCATTTGAGGCCCGAAGGGGGTTTATCGCAAGTTTATTGTTTTCAATATGCTGGCAATAGTTCAACTTTCAGACAAAATGTCATTTGAAATCTGAACGATATCTACAGGAACCCAAAGTGGTATACGAACTGATAATTAATACAAAATGAGTGCAGTTAAAGTCCAGCGTACCTTTCCCCTGTTTGATCTAAATAGAGAAAAGAAAAAGAAATCAAGGAAAGTGCCAGAAACTAATACAATTATATCAAGACATCGATTCTTCGTAGGGTGGTGGAGACTGAGACCTAAGTGCCGACTTGGTCATACTCGCTTTATCAGAGAGTGTGCTAGTGGCTGCAGGCTCACGCAAAGTGAATGCTGTTGGTGACTGTAAGGCCTGAACTGCTTGCCCTAAAGACGAGTATTGGATGAACAACTTTTCGGCGGCTGAAGATATTTTCTGAACTTACTTTGTACTAGGCGGGCCTGGGATCGGCGTACTAAAAACCATGCAGCAAGGATCGCAAATAACAAAAGTAAAATCCCTCCGACTACACCCCCGACAATAGCCCCAACATGTCTAGAACTCGTACTACTTTGTGAGCTCGATACTGAAGGAGGATTTTGGCTGGTTGGGCTTGAGCTCGAGCTGAAACTCGAACTTGAAATAGAGAAGGGCGTTGTGGAATCAGTATCTCGACCTGAAGTAGCACTGACAGTTCCTATAAAACCGCCAATTCTCGAGTCCGAAGTCGTGGAGGGATTTGGAATATTTGAAGTCAAGCTTTCGCTTGAGGTCGAAGCGGGAATCGGAATAGTCGAACTTGAGTCTGAGCCTGAACTTGACTCTGTAGGACTGGCGGGACCTGAACCTGAAGGGCCGTTCGCTATTAGAGAGGATAACATGGTAGTGGCAGCGCTTCTGTCTGATGTCTGGGACACTGGCAGAAAGAACCAAGAGTACCAGCCACCATCGTCGAGAATTAACTGCGAAGGTCGAAGTTAGTTCAGTAAAGAGCCAGAAAGGTTTGAATTTCTAGAAAAGACTAGACGTACAGAACCATTATGACTTTCGCTGACTTCCCCACTAGTCACCCAAAAAGGGCCTCCTTGATTTGAGTTCCGTGATATTCTGCTCCGTTATAGCAAGTATTCGAATGTTTTTGACACAAGCTACTCACTGATACCAGTCTGTGTCTGTTGTCTCATTGATATACCAGGGCAGAGGAGAAGTAGTAAGGACTGTGTTGTGGTCGGAAAACCCTATATATGTTTCATAACGAATGTTTCGCAGAAATTGCGCAACCCCTTCCCCGCTGACGACTTGCCACTGGTAGGCCGATAGTTAATAACCTCGTTCTCAAAATATTAAAGCAAATTTTTACCTGCTGGTCACTTGTCCCGACGAAAGTGGCCGTAACAGGCGGCCCATTGCTTGTACCACTGACAAATTCATTGAATTTGTCGAAAATGTAGTACTCACCATCGGGGAGAGACATGAGAAGGAAGAAGGGGAAAAGATTCAAAATGGTTATCTCAGGCTCGGATGCTTTAAATTGGAGATTCTCTATTGGCCTCTAGACTTGCGCCTAGCGTTATGTGAACCTACATTGAAAGATCGGAGCAGATTGCTTCTTTCTAGTTAGTTGAATGTAGTTGAATGACATCCTGGACACTTGACATCAGAAAACATAAAGTCTTGAGGATCACCGGTGGTGATTGCTCTGAAATGATACGACAAGGAAAATGAACTTCTTGATGACGAGCATATAAATCCGCTGCTTCGTATTCATTTCACCGCATGCGAGAAAATCGTGAAATATACCGAAGCGGAGCAGGAAGTGTCGTAAAAAGGGAGCAAGACGGCCCATAAAGATTACTTATTGCTCGCTAAACAACGGAACCCCGATGATTAATTCCGCGCTCGTCAATCAGCGTTGCACAGGATCGAAACGACCGATTCACCTCCAGTTTAAGCAAGTGCCGAGACGCCGAATCCCGCCTTTTGCTTTTATAGGCTAGGATCAGCGCTAGGTAGTCTCCATATTTGTTTGGTTCGTCGCTTCAGGCTCCACCATGTCCGGGATAACCTACTTACCAACAAGTAGTAGTCTGTTGACCACTACCTAGTACCATCATTCCTCTTTGACCACGACCGTACCCGCAGGTCCTGAGAAATGAAGACGTCAGTTCGACATATCTTGATCTCTTGTTTCTCCCAAGAATTCAAAGAACCGTTCTACATGTCAACTGATAAGTAAACACCATGGATCTCACTGATTGTCGTATCGTATCCAATAAACCGCTCTGAAAGATCGTATGTAGCATACACAACTTGAACTGTGGAGACCTGGGCGGCGGAAACTTTCCTGATTTATCGGATTATCTCTTCTGGGGAAATGCTCGTAGCTGTAATACAAACAAACCCGAGACATGAATCACGCGTGACTCATGATCCTTCCAAATTCTACTCATGAGAACGCTGTCACAAGCTTCCAATCATATCGTCCTGATCCTATTTTTATGGGAAAAGTGGCAGACATGCTTACCGGTACCTAGCCTATCATTAGGATGACGAGCGGTGATTTCATCATTCACGACTTTGTTTTGGAGTGATCATCAGAAAGAGGAGACTAAATAATTTCCCAGGACTCTCAAGATTAAATTCAGACAAGTGCGCGAGCTTTTGTTTTATAATGCCTGTTTTGGTGCTCAAGTTAACATGAGAGTTGTGAAGACTGTAGGAATGGAAGGATAAAATTCGATGTCTATACAGTAAGTATTCTGCGTAAGCTTACCGCCAATCGATCATCTTGCCGGTAGTCTCCGGGATTTAGATTTTTTTTTGGTTTTGGGGTTGTTGTTAATTCTGAAAGCTTTGCTTAATGTCAAAATCCAATTCCAATGATAGCCATGGCCTACAATTCATATAATTTTATTAGAGGGTGGCTTCGGACATTTTGTAGCAGTTACTCACAGAAGATCAAAATCATTTCATCTTGAGAAGATTGTGATGCATAGAGCATTTCCTGCTTTAGCCATTTTTGGGTTTTGATTCATTTAGATAATAGTCTAGGGAATAGGCCCTTCAAGAAGCCCATTGCAAATGTTATCAGTATTTTTTTTGGAATTAAAATCTTTTTTTACATACTACAATAGATAGAAAATAAAGACAGAAGGGAAATACAACCAATGCAGAACTGGGTCAAATCTTATAAATATTAGCCAACAATTTGCATTTTCTACCTAATCCTATTAATCCACAACAACTATGCAACTGTCTGCATTAATGGGGTAGTGGTAACCTGGGTCGTTGCCATACAACTTCAAGCTCGACCCGCCGGGGGTTCGATTCCCTCTTAATGCATCAGTTACATAAGTGTATCTTCCATGTTTTTATGACTCACTACTTTCCTGATTTGATAGATAGCTGTGAGCGCGACGGCAAGTTAACTTGAGATTAGGTTGATTGTTTAACAAGAAATCGGAAGCACGGAGCTCCTTCATTATATAACTTGAACCTGGAACACTACCATGCACACGGGACGTCTACGCACGTTCGGGACAGAGTAATTGCTCGAACCTGAGGAACACGTAATATATACTTACTGCCATGCCGAGCCTTACAGACTAGCTACGTGGCAGTCAGAGTCCAAACCGTAGAGGACCAGGCAACGAAGTAAAGCAATCCTTAAATTTATTCATCAATAACCTTTATTGTGTAGCGAACATGATGCATTATGGTAGTTATGGAGTGATGAGGATGCGTAAATGGAGTAGAGATTGTCCCGAGAAGGAATTAGAACTTGGAAGCAGCAGCTTGGCACTAGAAAGAGGAAGAGAGGCGAAGTTAGTAAGCACAGGGAACAACAAAAATTGAATGGAACACGCACTGCTTTAAGTTGCTCGAGGTACCAGGTGCACGAAGGAAGGTCAGCCTTCTCGAGGCATTGGGTAAAGTCTACAAACGGAACCGGCAACATCAGCCCCCGAAAGCGAGTGAAGTGAAACAAAAAACCATCGTACCCTTTGCCTGAGTCTCACAGCTAAGTCCTCCACTCCACTGCTGTGCCGGTGCTTGCTGAGCAGGTGCTTGTTGTTGCTCAACAGGGGCACTCGAGTGTCCTCCACCACCGAAAAGCATAGAAGAAATCCCATGACCAATGGTCGAACCAATAGCTACGGAACCAGCTGTTGCGGCCATTTGAGCGAGCATTCCTGGTTCTTTGGTGGGTGCTGCTGGATGAGCTGCAGCTGCAGGAGGAGCAGGGGGGTGAGCAGCAGAGTAGGGAGCAGCAGGTGCAGCAGCGGTGTGTGCGCCCCGGGATTGAGCAGGTGCTGAGGCAGCGGGTTTGGAGGGAACAGAAGAACGACCGCGGGATTGACGCTAGAAACGAGTTTTAGCAGAGGCTGGAAGCTAGAGAAGGAGAATACGCACAGGCATGGTGATTACTGGATTACTGGATGAAAAACTGAGCGAACCGGATGGAAGTTTTTAAAAACCCGATTAGTAAGCGACAGCGGGACAGTTACGCACCCTGGTCGGCTGACTTTCGGAAGCTTCTGGCAAATAGATCCAAACAACCTTCCAAAATTTCGTGTTCCTCGTCACGTTTTCACTTGCTGGCAAAATGCTGTCCGTGTCTTTCCTGCAACGACGCGTCGTCCGTTCCAGTTCCCTTCTTTTCCATTCACGGTATGCATCCACAGCCACAAAAATCAAAACTGCCTCCAAAGTCAGCTCGTCTTCTTCAGACGATGCCGAAAAAAACCTCGCCGAAATGGAGAAAAACCTTCTCTTAATGCAAGACCACCCTGCTTTTGATCCTTGGGCGGGACCTATAGCTGCATTGGACGTTAAACTCCCCTATAAACTCTTTCCCAAATCCACTTCTCCCTACCCCGCTACCTGGTCCGGCAGGTATTCGACTCTTTCTCAAAACCTAAGCAATACAGTCAAAAACGCATTCGCTATGGCTCATATAGCAGGGTACAACTCTTTTCCTTCACGCGACCTAAACCTCTCACCGCCGCATAACACCTGGTTGCGTTCCGTAAAAGACTTTTTCGCATTCCCATTCCGCATATTCCGCGCGTCGAGTACAACTCCCGACGCATGGGTCTCTGGACTCAGACAAGTCGCGCTCGAGTCGTACGCTCATGCTCAAATTGCCGTAGCGAGAAGGGATAGAGAGGAGCTGTTGAGGTGGACTGGGAATGAGTATCAGGGTGAGATGGAAAAGGTCGTCAAGAAGAATTCGGGTCCAAATTCGAATTCTTATATATGGTCACTTCACCGTCTAGTCTCCCCTGCTAAAATCCTTAGTATCAGAGCGATCGAAGGGCATTACGGGAAACATCCTCCCGCGGTAGGGAATAGGTTGTTAATTCAGGCGTTGGTCAGGTTTGAGACGGAAGAAGTGCGCCTTATTCTTTCGATATCTTCTCTGTTACTAACTGTTCCTCTAGTCCCTAGAAATCTATTCTCCTACCGGAAAACCCTTACATACCCCATCGCCTTCTTCCTCATCGACTCCATTATACACCTCTTCCTCCTCGACACAAAAAGGAAAACGTACCCCAGCTCCTGTTAACCGTCTAACCTCCTACCTTCTCATCGAAAAACGCATGTTTATGAACTCGAATTGGGTCATTAGGGAGAGAGTTTGGCCGAAAGTTGGTGCAGAGGTGAAAGCCTAGGACTTTGGATTGGATTAGCTTGGTTCGTTGCTCTGATTTCACGTAGGGTTTGGAGGCAGTTTCGTGATGATGATAGACTTGGGCGGTATTATATAATTAAAATAATCATTTATCCACCATTTGCAAACAAGTCATTGAATATTGGATACGAACTTGAACAAGTAAAGGCATGATTACCTCAAATGTCTATGTAAAATGTCCAAAAGCACCGCGAGATCACTTCTATGCATTAAGAGAGAATCGAACCCCCGACAGGTTCAGACAAGCTATCCCTTGCCATGTGGAAGAAAATCAATGTTAGTCAAAGCACCAATAAGAAATACAGAAGAAACAGTAGATATAAAACTCAAGAATTGTTGGGAGATAGGAAAGCACAGAAAATGTAAGGTCTCGGTATAGGTCATACATGCCACAAAGGCAAGTCATAATTTTAAAGATAGGAGGTATTTAAGTGCTGATTATTTATGGTATTTATTTTTAAGACTCATATTTAATGAACTAGACAAAAGTTTGAATCTCAACAGACTTTCTTATCTTATAATTGAATTTCTGCTACTTATAACAAACTTATTCCTTTGGAAAGCTTGGGCACAGATATCTGCATATCTCTGGGCAAAGGAAGCAGTGATGTGTCACTGAGTACCCTGATCTAATGTTCTTGGTATCTTTTTTATTTTTACTTCTCTTATGACGGAGCGCCTTGAATTGCTATACTTATTACTCACTTAGTCACTGTGTATAGTACACGCGACTTTTCCATTTTGATAGGCCACTCCTTCGGAATTCAATACAAGTTTCACTCATGTGTGGAGCTCAGCTACAACCAATGTCAGCTTGGATGTATAGCTTTATCTCTCAGCCTAAAATATAAGCAATTCTCCTGGCTATTTGATTAGGTTTTCTCAGCCATGTCAGCAACGTCGCTATGTTACCGTCCCCAAAAAATACAGAACAATATCTAGGATGATATACCATGATATCTGGGTTACGGGGCATGATCGAACCTGAAAGTTGTTGGGCTATATTGATGCCCAACTTGATTTCTCAAGTAAAAAACTTTAGGTATTATTGACTCAAATGGAGTTTGCGGGACTAAAACCTACTCATCACCCACGGAGATAACTCTTAACTTTGCCATTCTTCTGCATCCTATCGATTTGATCATTCTCCGGCAAACTTCCCGTACTACATTCTTTCTTTCGAACTTGACGCTCGATGTCCTAATCACTCTTGGCTTCCATCATGGAAGTCTGTGTCACAACTGCTAGCAAATTTACTAGCAGTGCGGCACCGAGACTACCATCATTACAATTCTCAACTCAGTAAAGACAAATCGCTTGAATCACACAGTACCTCTGGGGCACATTCATCCTCATGTACCATTCAACTTATGTACATATTGACAGGACAATCTCCAGTAATATATGTTAAGTAACACATATTCCTCGGACCCTGCACTTCGTACATCGATGCCATCACAGTGACACAAGAGAGCTAATCATATCATTCTGTAGCGCCCGTCCCTCATAGCCTTGGGTCTTAAAAATTGATTTCAATTAAGCTATAAAGTCTGACTCCTCCAGAATCCAACTTTCACTATGAATCCATTCTGGGGCATTACAAACTACTGGGGTCAACCGCAAGGTAGATACTACCATCCACATGTCTACTACCCACCTACTCCTTATACCAGTCCAGCACCTCTCACAGGCGGCATGATCTCTTCATACTTGCCTCATACTCCAGTGATCACAATCAATCTCCCAGCACAGCTAATCCCCTCAAAAAAATACCCTTCACTCAGTCCCTGCCTTGCGGCCAATAGTTGCAGTATCCACCCAGACTTTCGCATAAAACCACGTACATACATCCCTCCAGCTACTTTCAACGCATTCAGTTATTTCCCCGCCATGGGATATCATGTAACTCATATGCGACTCATCTGTAAATCCTTTCCCTGGAAGATCGACATTGTATCGCGAAGCTCGATTACTGTAGGAGCAATCTGGAATGAAATATATGTGGCTCTGCAAGAACATCTATGTGATTCGGAATGGGCCATTGCAGGTCGGAATAAAAGAAAGACAATTGAGAAAGCTGCAGAGAAGAGGAGAATGTTTGATGGTGATAAGGCATTGAAGAGGATCGATTGGCTAGGAGAGAACACAGTATTTAAAGGGTTGGAGAAAAATGAAGGTTTGGAGAAGAGTAGGCTGCTCCCTCGTGCTACGGCCGTACCAGAGACATGGGTGATCAAATTGGGGTCAAGGTAGTAATAGGGGCTTCTATTGGGATTTGACAAAAGTCCGTCATACTCAACTCCTATGATTTGGGCATTACTCTCTGGAATAAGAAACTAGATGTATAGCAAAATTCATTCGTTGAGTGATAACCACGTTCCCCGAAAACAATAAACATTGACTAGATACGAATACTTAGACTAGAATTTTCCCATAAGAAAGAGTATATCAGAGATCAGTCAAGATCCCTCCTAGGAGCTAATTACATGTTCATTCATTTTGTGAAACCAGAAATGAACAGATCACAGTGAAACCATCATTCAATATATCAGCTTTACATCTGAATCATATGATGGCTCATCTGAACCACCATACCATCTTGAGGAAAATTCGGGATCTCCCAAATCGAAAGCATTAGAATGAGGTC